CAAATGAATTCAACGGTAACACTTTGTATTTGTGTAATTTAAAATTATAAATTGTTACACATTCCTTTTAAAAATGGTACAAAATGTTATCTTCCCACCTTCCCAAAGAAAAAGTTGTCTGCCATTGCTAAATTTGTAAAAAAACAAAAAATAGCTGCCTCACTGCTTTTAGTACTTTCTAAGTCTCTCACAGAAAACAAGCACAGGGCCAGTGAATTTAGAGCTCCTCATCTGAAGTCTTATTCACGGCCGTCGACTCAAGATATGCAAAAGGAACTGAATTAGCATGACAATTGGGCAGCAACTACCTAGGGGAGGTTTGTGAAGGCAGTCCGCAGAGCTCAGTTTTTACTCTCTCCACTCATGTGAAAGCTAATCTGTAAATCACATGACATCCCATGTTCGTGTGTGTGTGTATGTATGTATATATATATATGTGTGTGTGTGTGTGTGTGTGTGTGTGTGTGTAATTTATATTAGAGAGAGCTAATTTGTATTGCTTCTCTTTCAGTTCTGTAATTGAATCAGACAGTAGCCATAATGTGCAATTCTCCTCCCATGATGTGGACACCAACATTCAGGAATCCTTGTTTTCCGAAGGTAACTTTTCATCATTTTATTTGTCGTCTTATTGCTGATGCTAACACTGTGAAGAATAGTTACTAAAATAGCAATTTTATAGTGTTGTATTGGGCATTCAATTAGTCTGTAATTGGATGTGCCCCAGTTATCTTACATCATAGACTAGTTTTATCCGTGATAAAGCATTTAACTGTGGCTTTTAAAGGCATTAATTGTCCAATAACTGTGCTTAATGGCTTTTCTCTTTGCAATGAATTTTAGGGAATATAGACCATATCTCTTTACAGTGTGTTGGTTTTCTGTGCCAAGAACCCAACACCAGGTAGCTTTAAAGCAGGACTAAATTACATTGTGTGGAGGTGAGCTGTAGCCATACTGTACAAGTTTGCACAGCATACTTGCACATTCTGGCACACTTACCTCTGTGTGTGCTCTGTCCACTGCCTCTATCTTCCCTGGTATTTCTTCCAGGTCCCATTTACATTACTATTCAATTTGTTTAGACTGTTCTACAGGAGCCTTTGATATTACTTTAAACCCTTACCTAACACAAAATAAAACATTTGAAATCCATACTTATTGCATCATCAAAGAAAGTATCTGACCAGGATCTGCACCAAAACTACTTGATTTTTGTATCAAAAATAAGCGGTGATAGATTCTTGATATAAAGCTAATAAAGAAAAGAAAAAAAGGCTCTGTTGATGTCGAAAGGCTCCATTATATCCTCTTAGGGCTACTCCTAAATTTATTTAGGTATTCTGACAGCAGGAGATTTCTCGATCAATGCTCATGACCGTTGATGAAGGAATCTTTTGTATTTTCTTTGTTCAGCCCGCCAGTTGAACAAAGAAAATATTAGTGTATGGCCAGCTTAAGTCTTGGAGAGCAGCCTTTAGCATTGGAGAATGCGCTTTCTAAAAATCGAGTGTTTTTATCCTTCCAGTATGTGCTTGTTTTACATCTTGAGTTAAATTAAATCATATTATGGTCACTGCTACCCAGATTTTTGTACATTACCAGTTGTATCATCTCAATTATGGAATATGTATAACGTTTAGCTATGGGGAGTTCATTCATAGTTTAGCATAGGTCAATACCTTAGCCTATTCCTAAAACTGCACACCAGGCCTTATACGACAGGGCCTCATCAGAAGTCCTTTAAAGACCATGGGCTAGATAAGGTTTTGATGCCCTGCATTATTTCTAAGTGGATGTTTTTTTTCTTTTTTAAACAGACGTGATTTTAATCTGACCCCTTTGTTACCAATGTTTGAATGTTGGGGGAAATGAGGATAGCACTGTGTTCAGTACTACTTCCCTATTCTCTCCACAGTTTTTAGATTTCAAAAGCCCTCGCTATCATCAGACCTTTTCTTCTGCATTTTTATTATATTCATATGGGGAGCCTATTAAATGGCCAGGACACACACAATGTATTCAACTTGGCAGAAACCACACACAGTTGAAATGTTAATTTTGTATGGCATTGGCAATGACTGTATGTGCTCATCCATTTGTAGATTATGTAATCATCTGATAAGCTCCTGAGTGGTCATGTGTTTACATAATCCCTTTAATACAAGGGCATTTTATATCTGTTGAAATGATGTACGTATATATTTCATTTTTATTTACACAGCAGATGAGACTCGTAGCAGTGTTGCAGGGAGTGAAAAGAGTGACAGAACATGGTCTCCTGGAAGATCCTGGGAAAGTGCTCTCTGGTCTGAGGTCAAACATCACCTTACAGATCACTTATATCATAGCACAGTATTTCCAGAAAGCCTACCTCGAAAGTTTGATTACGGTCGCAGGAAGTTCCTCATGCAGCAGTACAATCTCCACCCAGCTAAACTTGTGAAGTCAATGTGTACCTCAAAGTTGAAACTTCAAGATTTCACTAGTGCCAGTGGGCCTGGCCATTATGAAGTCACCATATTGGGTAAAGTATCTACTGACACTGGCGTAAGGTTTTATTACCAGTATTCAGTCGTTTTCACATTCTCCACAAAGAGTTAAGTCCCCCTCACCGGTCATTGCTCTTACAAAAACGTTATTGTAGAATCACTAGAATGCATCATGTACGCTCCTTTTTAATCAATTTTTAAGTGAACCTTTCCTGAGAGAAATATGGGAGTTGCAATTGCTGGCACCTTCTGAAGATGCTGACCCACTGGCTTCAATATTTTCTGATTTACTGACTTGGAACATATGCAGATCAGGAAAATCAGTAGTCCTTATCTACTTACTTAAAGCCAATGGGCCAGTATGACAGCCAGGCAAATAGCATTTGCAAAATGGGAGTTCTAAAATGGCAGCCTCCGGAGTTTTCTTTACCTCTTTAGCTGTTAAAAGCTTGCAGTAAAAACAGTAATAAATTATCCAATTCAACTAAATATGTTAACCAATTCATAAGGACTACACCAAATCACAGTTTTATTATAACAATGTATGTGAAATGCAAACATGCTTCTTATTTTGAAAGAGATCTGCACATTTTATAAATGCAAACCTTATGTTTTTCTATTTTAAGAGGGGAAGTATTTTGTGACCTACTTATGTGATTCATATAGTGTGAGCTATAAAATGTGTGTATTTCTTTAAACCGAGGGAGTATAATGCTGGCATATCCTTATAGTATATGCAAACCAGTTTTTATAGATATTTGTATGTATGGTTATTGGTGTACTCATTTGTCATATCTGTATCCAATTTCAAAATTGAAAGGGAGCAGAGAATCTCTTCTGTGTAATGATAAATTGCCATCTTTGTTTTGTCTTATCAGGTATAAATCATGATGTAGCAATTGACGTGTCTCTGCCTGTATATAAGAACTTCAGACTGTTTGGCCCAAATTGCTTTCCTAACCATATTCAATGCCTCAGTCCAGACTGGAATGCTGAAACCCAAGATCAACACTGGCTGTCTCTTAAAGGTGAGAAAAGAGACATTTTGAAAAGCACTAAAAAGAAAATGGAGTTTCTCTTTTCACGCCTGTATTGCCATTTGAAAGCAGACATTTGGCTGCTATTGGCAGTTTCTATGGCTTTGAAATCAAGACCCAAATTTGTTCAACTCTTGTTATTTCTGCGTAGTATATTTTTGGAATCCATATTGGATCACACAATGTGCATGTGTCGTTTGATTTAAAGGAGAACTATGAGGTGAGTGAAAATCACCCATCCTCATAGTTCGAGCCGTCGTGTGACAATGAAACTGTCACAAGTCGGCTCAATAGATCGGGAAGTGAGCGAACACATACCGTCGCTCGCTCACTTACTTCTCGATCACCTCACGGCTCCCTGCAGGGATTAACACACCATCTCCCCCACCCCCGCTCCGATCCTCCAGCGCTGACTCTGCTCTAGATAGGCAGAGCCCGCTGTAATGCAGCTGGGTGGATCTCGACAGCAATGTCGGGATCCGTCCCAGCTGCGGCGGTCTCAGTATACCACGAGCTGTAGCTTGCTATCTACTGAGCTTTGGGTCACGGGAGGACGCCAGTATATGTCCTCCCTTGACCCTTAAAAGAACTATGGGGGAAAACACTTACCTCATGGTTCTCTTTTAAGGCAAGGAACCTTTTCATTTTGCAGATTACCTTCCTGCATCAACCACACCACTAGGGCTGAGATATTTCCATACCAAATATGAAATGGCCTTCCACCAGATGACAGATGGTTGAAGTTACCCTTTAAACGGACTGTTTAGTGGTTTTGTACACATTTCTTTCTTGGTTTATCATGGTCAGGGTGGAAAACAATATTTACATTTTTTTATTTGTTTTTAAGTGTTAAAGGAAAACATTTTCTTAACCCTTGCAGTGGGGCTACACCCGCACTGCAACGGTTAAGTGCTCTTTTTTCTCTAGGTTCAAAAATAACAAAGAAATACACACCCGAAGCTCCGAGCCAGCCAACTGTTACAGCGCTCCCTCCAGCCTGTCTCCTACTCCATTGCATCATTGGAATCTTCCTCAGCCTCCCCACTTCTGTACACTGTGTATAGATGTGATGATTTGCAGTACCTTACACTGCTGCAGTGGAGGGGGAGAGAGGCTCTAGGCACTGTTCTAAGAACAAGCCAGCTTAGTGCATTGGGTGAGTATCACTTTTTTTCTTTTTGTTAACCTAGATGGACAAAAAAAACAAAAACGAGCAGTTAACCCTTGCAGTGTGGGGGTAGTCCCGCTGCAAGGGTTAAGAAAAAACATTTCACCGCTTTATATTTGGTATGGTATGTGGCATTGTCTCCAGAAAGCACTCTAGGCTTTCACAGTAAGTATCATAAAGTTGACATTCATAAAATGAATGATGTCTGGGAAGCATAACTTTCTGCCACCCATCCCTAATGCTACAAAACAAATACAGGCACCGCCATTACTTTTGTTGCCAGTCCCACCCCACCAGCGGCTGCTAATTATGAAGTAAACTCTATAATACATAACTGCCACCACCACCTCCTGAAGCTGCTTTCTTTGCTTACTGCCAGCCCTGGGTCTTAGACACAGGGTCCATTAAACTTATAATCTTGCTGCCTGAATCCAGCCATCATTGTCACTCGCTTCTATTGTTGCCCTGTACTGGTTTCCCACCCAAACTAAAGCCCAGCTGAACTTTCAATAGTTTAAACCAGGTAAATGTATTCCAGATACTTCAAAACAAAAGGTGTTGAAAAGTCTTAGACTGTGGCTGCTTTCTAAAGAAAATGAATTGTTTTGATGCATCTGGAATGCACTGGGCTGATTTTTAAGGGGAAAGTTTATTTGGGTTTTAACACATTCCATTCACCCATTCATATCCACTTATCTGTCTCTTCCTTATCAAATCAGGTTTAACAATCTATCATCTCTATCGCCCATACTTCCCACTCTCCCATTCCTTTTCTTCCCTCACCTACCACCTACAGGCCCTCACCCCCCTCTTTAACAGACAATACAAAGGGGGAAAATGGGCTTTTGGGTCCTCAACATCTCTAGGGCACACCTTTTCAATAAATTTTTTATGTCCACCAATCAAATACTAGTTGCAGGCATTAAAAAAGCCTACTCTTAAGGAGCAAACATGCAATGAAAATGTGCCTCAATTATTCTTCACATCCAGATTACAAAGCTTTGATTTTAGACAGTGCTTAAGGCAGCACTGTCTAAAAGAGCCAGTTGGCACCAAATAGTGCTGGGAGCAGTATTCTAATCCAATGCCCACAGACCTTGTTATTTATGTAAACAGTCCTGGGCATTGGATTAACCTAGCATGCATATTAATATTTGTGTAATAGGAAGCTAACCAGACCCCTTTCAAACCCAGGCCAATCATTAGGGAGACAATAGCAGTCAGCTAAAGAAAAGTAAAACCCTGTCAAGCCGGTCAATTATTCCCCCTTGGATGGTTGGCTGTTATTACTCCGTTTGGATTAAAGCGAATCATGCAGCGTTCTCATGCCTATGAGTATCTTTATGAATTTCTTCCCTTAAACACTTTGATAAATGACACCCTTTCTTTGCATTTATCTATTAACTTGAAGTTGTATATGTTTTATTGCAGATGAACTTGTGAAATATGCCTGTGCACAAGACCGACAGCATACTATATGTATCCTGGACATCTGCCACCTAGGGGAAAGAAAAGTGGAAATTTTTCTAAACAGAGTTTACTATCCCATCACAGGGGATTTGCCATGACTGTAACATTTGTACTGCTAAGTTATTGTACTAAATTGTACTAAACTCTGTTTCTTGTATTGTTTACATTTTCTATATGAAGTAATGTATATATTTTTTAACATTATCACTTTGTAATCATGAACCATTACTGTGGTTAGAGACAGCGGTTTAGTTAGTTTAAGCAGAAGCATTAAGTATCTTAACCATCATTTTTATCTGAGTTGGTTGTTAATGATAAATTCTCATGCAGTTATAATTATGGGTATTGATTGGTAATACTTTTTTTATTTTCTGTCTTAGAATTTATTTTTTCATAGTATTAATATTATTGGGGAAATATAGTGTTTTTTTCAGTGACCACAAAGTTTAAGGTAAACACTGCAATAATACCTCAAACAATTTTTTTTTTTTTTTAACTTCACTGTTTTACATGCTTGCTTCCATATTTTGTTACTATATTAAATATAGAGAGTTGTAGATTACACTAGGGGGAGCCCTATGTTTGACTTGTCAGCTAACTCATAGACTTACATTGTGAGAAGGAGCGGTATAGCACAACCACTGTGCAGCAATGCAAAACAGGTAAGAGTACGTAGTATGAGCAAGTGTGGTTGCCATATGTACACATATAAATATAAACTATGCATACAAACAAAGTGCTTTAAATTATTAACACACATTGATAATAGTAGCATAAAGTGTTCATAGTTATAAACCACATTAAAAGCACTGTACATTCCCATTTAATATTTTTTTTTTAATGCTTTAAGATATTTATTTAAAATAACTGCCGTCTAAAGATGGTTTTTCAGAGATTGCACATTCTCTTTTCTCTGATGACCAAAGTCAAAATTAAATTTGCAAGATTTGCTGTTACAGTTAAACCTGTATTTTTAAAGAAAGATTGTGTTTCTATGAATTCGTAAACGTGCGCTTTTCTTATTGTGTGCAAGGGCACCTTTTTAATCTTACTTCATATTTGACATTACATTGTCCTTTTTTTAGCTTAATTTCTGTGTGTTCTTGTTTATTTCCCATGTGGAATGCTATCTTTGGGGGTATTTACTTAATGCCCATTCACTACAAAGTTGTGATGATTTTTGGTTGTGCTTGGGTTTAGACTAAAATGCACTCAACAATTGTTTCTGGATACAGCAGTCAGTATTACAGGAGAATTATGACCTAAGGGCAAATAAACATTCTCCTTATCTTTACTGTATTAGCATTCTTACTTTTTTCTAAAGTCGCAGCACATCACAGATGAAATCTACAAAACCCACAGGAAACGGCCACCTGCAGGCCTGCTCCAAGCTCCTTTCCTCTTAGCTAACAGTGGATCCAGGCCGCCCTCAGCTTTTTAAAAAAAAAAATATATATTCTCCCATTGCTGTGGCAGCACTTCCTCTCATTGTGCACAGCTGTGCTTTGTCAGAGTGTGCATGCTGGCATTTGGGAGAGGGAGGCGGAGTCTCAAGTGAAAAGGCAGTGGCAATAGATAAGTAATGAACTGACTCAGCCTCCCTGCACTTTTTAGTGTTCTTTCACCTCTCTCTTCAGCGATCCCCAGTGATTAGCATGTCAGCGTGACACAGGGCAGAGAGAGAGGGGAAAGAGCCCTCTCTCCATCATTTTCCACATATGGACAAGTCCATATATAGTGAATTATGTCCCTGGGGATCCTTGCTGATCGGATGCTTGCCAGTCTGGAGGGATCCTCAGTGACATAATTCACCATATATGGACTTGCCCATATGTGGTAAATGATGGAGAGAGCCCTCTTTCCCCTCTCTTCAGCGATCCCCAGTGATTAGGATGTCAGCGTGACACAGGACAGGGAGAGAGAGAGGGGAAGGGAAGGCTGGCACAGAGGATGGGGACGTACAGTACACCATATGCCGAGAGGGGAGATTTTGACTGTGTTCTTGTGCCACAAAAAGCAAAGGTAAAAGGTTTTACTTAAAAGACCTTTCATTATAACACATGCACTATTTAAGCTAATCACAATAGCAGAAATGAGATTTGAGAAATGTGTTGGAAGCACTACTCTCAAAAAGCATAAGGCCTGGTTCACACCTGAACGTTTTGTAGCGCGTTCAACGCTCGACGAACGCTCTACAAAACGCTCAAACATCTAAATCCCATTGTATTCAATGGGTCTGGTTCACACCTTGCCGTATTTCCGCCCGTCCGAACGCGATACAAAACGGCCCACGCCCAAAGAAGTACATGTACTTCTTTGGGGCGTTTTGGTCTCGCGTTTCCATTGGGATACAGCCAAGCAGCCCTCGGAAACAGGCGTTTGTTGCGCTTTTTTTTTTTACAGCGAATCGCGCAACAAACGCGCATATTCAATACGCCTAGGTGTGAACCCAGCCTAAAACATATGATACATGTGTACCCTAAAGCAGAACTCAATTTCTTTTTAATCCTCCCAGTTCCTGCCCAGTTTAAAATATATATATTTGCATATAGACATATATATATATATAATTAGGGATGCACCGATGGCGATACCGAGTATTTGCATGAGTACTCGTGCAAATACTCAGATTATCTATCTATCTATACACACACACACACTGAGTGGCCAGATCATTATGACCACTTCATCAGTACTTTGTTGGGCTGCCTCGTGACTCCACGAGATGTTGAAAGGTGCACACTGCACTGTTGCCCTTCTGTTGTCTTGTACCAGTCTTGCCACTCTCTGTTCTGCCCTAACATTGACTAGTCGCTGACGGCCACAATTCGCACATTCAGACCCAGATTTTCGGCTGACAGTCCAGTCTTTAAACACTTTAACAACAGCTGCTCTTGAACATTTAACGAATTCTGCTGTTTTGCTGATACTCGCTCCATGGCTCCGAGCGCCAACAATCATCCCACGTTCAAAGGCTGTTAAATCGCGTTGTTTACCCATATCTTCAGAAAAAAAATCACTTCTACTGTCATGGTAACAACCGGCTCCCTATTTATAATGGTCTGGCCCTCTAGCAACTTCAGCGCAAAATTATACCTAATTTGCCTACAAACGTCAGGTGGTCATAATAATCTGGCCACTCAGTGTATATATTGCACTGCCACAGTGTTGTGAGCCTAGGCTGGTCCGATGACCCACAAATAAGGAGCAACACTTCCACTGGCAGTCATTCAACCCCTTCCTGTGGGTTCAGGCTGTCACAGACTTGCTCCTTATTTGTGGGTCATCACCGGGCCAGCAAGAGGATATCGAATTTAGTTAGAGGGAGAAGGCTGGAGCTGAACTCCATGCAGATATAAAAATACACCAATTTAATGTATTCATTAAAAATGATAAAATATATATTTTTTTAATACAAGTACTGTAAGTACATGAACTTGACTTGGTATCAGCCTAATGTAATCCACTTTGCAGAAGAACTCTGGGAGACTGAAAATGTTTGGGTTAGCTGTACAAAAATGCAAACCCTGGGTTAAACAGATCTAATATATGTATTTGAAATGCGTATTTACATTTTAGAAACATCAAAAGAATCAGAAGTGGAGTTAGTAATAATTCTTATACCTACTAAGAAAAACCTCCATGAATAATTGGAACAGTTCAACCGCAATATTACTATCACTACCAAGTAATAGTATTGTTGCAGTCAAGCCTGTGCAGTTCATATATGGTGTTTTTTGTGTGTTTTGTTAGTGACAACTGTGTGTTTATCTGTTTGACAGGAGTTCAACTTTAACTGTGGCAAATTGCTTTATTCATGATGCATTGTTGTACTTTTTTTCCATTTTGCAACTTTTTATTTAAAAGTGCATGTACAAGGTGGCTTCTGTTTTTTGTTTTCTTTTTTAAATTGTGAGGCCAAAAGGTATTTCTGAGTTAGTGTTTTTTGCTCTGCGTGAAAATCTTTGGGGTCCCATTTACATTTGTGCAATGCAATAATGCACCTGTGTTTTAACCATATGAAAATGATGGGATGCCAACCCACCAAAATTAATTATACCGCACACTATAGTATGCAGTGTACTGCAGCGCACTGCATCGCATTTGCATTGCCTTAGTGTGCTGGGGTGCCGTTGAAAAGTCATGGCAACACTGCATTTAACGTGTTTCTTTGCGTTCCCACAATACAAAACTGTAAATGGGTCCTTACTCTTTTGTGTGCCTCTATAAATGCTGTTTGATATATAGCCTATGTTGATAAAAGATTGTGAAATAAAGTAAGTTTCCCTTCGTTTGAAAGAAGGAAAATGCTGGGCAACATAAAATATTAAAACCCCATTCCAGGCAATAAATGACTCCCCCCAATCTCCCCCCCTTTCTACCCCAAGCTTGTTTTGAGTTCTTGCCCACTGAAGCAAGATATGCACACCCAAATTCCCTGCTCAGGACCCTCACCACTGTCATTTTCGGGTGTGGGGGCGACTAATTCAGCACAGCAGCTGCACTCAAGACCTTCGAGACGCTACCATCTCCTCATGCTGATGTCACCTCACTTGGCTATGCTTATGCCATCTGGCAAACACTGCAGCTATGGTGAAGTCCATTCAACCTGCATTCATTTGAGTTGCCTAATGCACTGCAGACAGATTTCACATACCGTATATACTCGAGTATAAGCCGAGATTTTCAGCCCATTTTTTTGCTGAAAAGTGCCCCCTCGGCTTATACTGGAGTCAGCGTCATTTCTTCTTACTTACCTCGCCGGGCGTCGCGTCACTGCTGCTAAGGTACCTCGGCTTATATTCGGGACGGCTTATACTCGAGTATATATGGTAACTCCTTACATGTGTTGTGAACATGTCTGCTTTTTCCGAAGCCTGTGCTGTTTTTAACTGCTTTTTCTATTACATTTTTTTTATCAATACTCATATTCAAAAGGAGGGTTTGAATCTCTTGGATGTTAGCAAATGTTAGATGGATGTTTGGACCTCCTCAGAGATATCCTTCTGAAACTACTCACACAAGATAACCTTTTTCGGCTCTGGCCGGAAAGCGGCTTTTGGCATCCAATTCCTTGGTGTGTACTTTTGTGCGGGGTTACGCTTATCGTTACGTGTTGCAGAAG